GGCGCATCACTGCGAGTCGGCGACTTGGGCGGGCGCGGTAGCATGGCAACGCCGACAACGGTAGACGCGATAATAATAGCAGTGATGCTGGTGACGATGTTGACAATGACGACGGCGCGGCCAGTGACGGCGCCGATGCCGATCGCACCGACGACGATGACGGCGCCGTTGCGTCGGCGATTGAGATTTGCGGAAGGAGTTCGGCAAGCGCGTGCGGCCGGCGCGCGAGAGTGGCCCGCGTGGTATTCCGTGGCGCGAATCGTGCGCGCAAGGCCGTTCGAACGATTTCGGCGCGCGGCGCGAGTGGCCCGTTGCCCATTGAATTTCTGTAGACTTCGCAAGAGCGCGAGCGCACAACATATGTGCATGTGTATATATATACACAATTAACCAAATCAAAGAAACAGAAATCTATTTACATTCACTCGACCATTTTTTGGGGGGGGGTTTCGGGGCACTAGGTTTTTCAACTCTTTCGAAACCGAAGGTTTTTGATGAATGTCGGCATGCGCGCGCGACGACTGTCCGCTGATCTCAGCGGCGTGTGGGCGATCCTTTCCCGTGTGGCGGGGCTGCGAGCCGCGCGACGCCACGCTGCGCCTGCGCCTAAGCACGAGGGGTAGGGATGCAGGAGCCTGTGTGGCTGGGAGGCAGTCCACCAGCCCCCCCCCCTTCAAAAGTACCCCACAAGAAGACAATGCGCACTGGGAAAGCGATGATCATGACGGCGATGATGATGATGATGGGGATGATGATGATGTTACTGATGGTGATACTGATCATACTAATGATGACGATGACGACAACGATGACAATGATGCTGATGATGACGGTGATCATGATGTCAATGATGATGATGCTGCTGCTGACGCTGATGATACAAATGGTGATGATGCTGCTGGTGATGATGATGCCGGTGCTGCTGCTGCTGATGATGACGATGATGCTGATTATGCTGACCATGATGATGCTGATGGCGATATTTTGGAATGTGCTGCTTGTGGTGGTGATGCTAATGGTGATGATGCCGATGGTGATGGTGATGCTTTTTTCTGATGATTCTCCAAATAGGCTTGCCCTGAGGAGTCCTAGCTCATCATAAGTAATTGGTCTTTCTTTAGCACTCTTCCCCCCCTTTTCCAAATGCCCCCCCCGCCCTTTTTCCAATGCCCCCCCCCTTTGTCCACTGGCACTTGCTTGCTTGCTTGCTCTTGCGTGCCTACTCTCGATTGCTTGCTCTTGCGTGCCCTTGCTTGCTTGCACTTGATCGCTGGCTCTTGCTTGCTTGTTATTGCTCGCTTGCTTGCTGTTGCTCCTCCCGTCCTCCTCCCGTCCTGTTCCCGTCCTCCTTTGTCCTCTCGTCCTCCTCCTGTCCTCCTATCTATTTGGAGTCAACGCTGGCTGATATGATGGTACTGATGAAGATGATGAGAATGATGAGGATGAGGAGGGTGACGATGATGATGATAATGATGCTGATTGTGATGATGAGTAAGATGATGCTGCTGCTGATGGTGATGATGATGATGCTGATGATGGTAGTGATGATGATGCTGATGCTGACGATGATGGTGATTATGATGATGCTGAGGGTGGTGCTGATGATACTGCCACCACCGTCACCGACGACGACTATGATGATGCTGCTGATGGTGATGGCACGATGCTGATGATCATGACGGGTGCGACGACACGAGGTGGCCAGGGGAACTGGGCCAGAAACCCCCATGCTGACGATGATGCTGATGCTGCTGATGATGGGTGGGATGGTGGTGATGGTGATGTTGCTGCTGCTGAGGATGATGATGATGCTGATGCTGCTGCTGATGATGACGAACCTGATTATGCTGGTGATGACGATGAAGGTGATACTGATGCTGTTGATGATGATGCTGATCATGATGATGATAATGTTGATGATGATGCTGCAGCTGATGATGATATGTTGACGATGGCGTTGACGATGCTGATGATGATGATGTTGATGATGCTGGTGATGCTGATTGTGCTGGTGCTACTGATGATGCTGATGATGATTATGATGATTATGATGATGCTGATGGTGATGACGATGCCGATGCCGATGCCGATGACGATGATGATGAGGATGATGATGGTGAGACTGGCGATGGCGATGACCTTTGCGATTCTGATATTGGGACTGTTGATGATTATGGCCTATGTGTTACTGCCGATGGTGATGCCGATGACAATACCAATAGCGATGACGAGGACGAGTCTGAGGACGACGATGGTGATGATAGTGATGATGATGGTGCTGATGCTGATGCTGCCAACGATTCTGATGATGATGCTGCTGACGCTGATGCTGTGGACAATGCTGCTGCTGATGCCGCTGCTGACTATGCGGATGATGCTGGTTGTGATGCTGATGATGGCGATGATGATGCTGATACTGCTGCTGATGATGATGATGGTGACGGTGACGATGAAGATGACCATGCCGATGCTGATGCTGATGATGATTATGATGATGATGGTGACGATGACGATGACGATGATGATGATGATTATGAGGATGATAACGATGATGCTAATCTCAATGATGATAATGATGATGATGATGCTGGTGATGAGAATGATGCTGCTGACGATTATGCTAAGGATGATGATGATAATGATGATGATGCTGATGATAATGATAATGATGATGATGATGATTATGATAATGATGATGATGTTGATGATGATGCGGCTGACGATGATGATGATGATGGTGATGTTGCAACTGAGGAGGAGGGTGAGGATGATGATGATGATAAGGATGATAAGGATGATGATGATGACGGTGATGATGATGATGATTTTTTATTAAAACAAATCTCCGGGGAGGAGGAGGCGCACGCAAGAGGTGCGACAGGTGGCCCATATTGGGTGGGCCAGCCCCGCCGTCCAGTAGAAGCGCAGGTGGAACAAGGAGCACAACAGGTACGGGAGGCCGAACCCCACGCGGAAGCCGAAGCACGACCAGAACACGGTACGACGACCTGCCAGTGGTTAGCACCTGCGAAGAGCACCTTGCCACCTGTGAAGCAGAACATGATGAACCGCATGTGCAGGGCAGCCGTGCCGAAAGAGAAGAAGCCACCTATGACGAAGACCATGGGTGCGCGCCGATCGCCTCCAGCTCTGCCAACATCCCATCCCACTGCCGAGTACTGGAAGGGTTGCTAACCTCACGCACGCCACCCGCGTCAACAAGCACCTTCTCGCCCGTGTGAAAAATCTCCAGGGAGAGGATCTGGTTGGAAACCGCCGTGGCCTTGCCGACCCTCTCGATGAACTCAGACTCCGTGACCACCACGTAGCGCCCTATGAACTCTTCCAACGGCCACGAATAGCGACCGCACAGGTCCAGGAGCGAGATGCCGTCCCAGCTGTCGTCCGAGCCCTCCGAAGGCCAGACAATCTCCCGCACGACGTGATCACCACCACCTTCTCGATGAAGTTCAGCCCCGCCAGAGGACAGCCCACACGAACCGAAATTCCGCTCGAGCGCGTTCTGGAAGTGCTTCTGCGCGTCCGCCAAGGGCTGGAGAAGCTCCGCAAGTAAGTCCTCGACATTTCTACCGCCAGCGCAATCACGACGGAGACCGTGATCAGCACCGCCATGACTGCCAGAACCCTCAGCAGCAGCATCCACAGGAGCCCCACGAAGAGGAAGTTTGAGGGCAACGCGCAGGGCGTCATCCTCAGGGTACCCGTCGACGTCCATCTCGTAGATCATGAGGTCCACCATGTCGCTGTCGGTCTGGTGGTCGCATGGAACGGGACCATCAGTTCGGGCAGGAAGAGCAGCACAACCACTGCGAAGCACATGCGACGCCGCCATCGCCTGAGATGCAATAGCCCATGCCGTGATCATAATGTGCATCATCATGCGGAGGCTCTCGAAGAGTTTGGCCTCGGCCACCCGGTAAGGCACAGCCAGCGTAGGGAAAGCAGGTACCAGCGGAAGCACATCAACCTGAGCATCGCCATCAGCTGCACGGTCTCCACGAGTACGCGGCACTTTGAGCAGCGGGCCAGTCGACCACGGGTCGCGCCCTCCACTCCAAGGATCTTCAGCACCTCGGTCAGAGCCATCACCGCCTCCACGCCGACGACCACCAGCTCCACGTCGAAGGCCACGTCCAACATCGCCATCTCCACCGTCTGCACCGTCGTCGCCTCCACCAGCGCTCCAATCATCAGCACGAACATGATGCCGGCGCGGCTGCAACCAGAAGGCAATCTCCGCTATGCCCGAGGAGTGCAGGTGCCCCCTGTCCATCGCAACATGGGTCTGCAGCAGGCCTCGTAGTGCCAGTAGTTGATCCCGAAGGTGCGCTTGAAGAAGTGGCGACGCAGGGGGACCGCCAGCAGGCTTCAGCACGAACTTGTACTTGACCTTCCTGATATCCTCCGCCTGGCTGATGCACAGATGGACCTGTCGTCCACCAGCGACCTGCTGCTCCAGCCATGCGACGCGCCCGAGCAAAGGCATCGCGGAGGGGGGAGGAAGCAGGTGAAGGGTAAAAGCCACTCCCTTAGCAAATGCTTGGTGATGATGATGATGATGATGATGATGATGATGATGATGATGATGATGATGATGATGATGATGAGGAGGAGGAGGAGGAGGAGGAGGAGGAGGAGGAGGAGGAGGAGGAGGAGGAGCAGGAGTAGGATGCTGTGGGCGCGAAGGAGGGGGGGGGGACGCCAGCAAGGAGGAGGATGAGGAGGATGAGGGAGAGGATGAGGAGAGGAGGAGGAGGAGGAGGAGGAGGAGGAGGAGGAGGAGGAGGAGGAGGAGGAGGAGGAGGAGGAGGCGCAGGAGGAGAAGGAGGAGGAGGAGGAGGAGGATGAGGAGGAGGAGGAGGAGGAAGAGGAGGAGGACGAGGAACACGAGCACGAGGAGGAGGAGGAGGATGAGGAGGATGACCTCGAGGGCCAGGAGGACCTGCCCCCGGATGCCCCTCGCCGCGAGCGCGCCGCGCCTCGCATCCGCAGCGGGGCAACGCTTGGCAGCAGGTAACCGCCCGCGGCCGCGGTGCCCGCCCAGCGGGCGCTGCCGCGGCCCGCTGACGTCGGGGC